TGGCTCACAGCAGGTTGGGTCCACGCTCGCCACCGGGGGGGAGGCAAGCGGTGCGGCGCCCGCGTGCTGACGCCAGCCGCCCCGCCCCGCGCGGGAGGGGCCTGCAGGCAGAAGGCCTTCGCGCTCGTCAGTGGGGAGGGGTCTGCAGGCGACAGGGCCAGTTCGGGGGGTCAAGCCAAGGCACAAGGGCAGAGGGGGATGACGAGGGGGGGGGGCAAGCTGGGCGCGCTCGCGCAATATCTGACCTCCTCCCCGTCCACCCGTCCTTTCCCGTTGCGCTTTGCATGCTCAGTTCGCCGACGCGTGTCAGAGCGCCGTGTTCTGCGCAATCGGAAAGACAGGAGCTGCGTACATTGGAGAAGGATGTGGCGGATGAGCAGGAGGAGAAGGCGCAGGATGAGGAAGGAGGAAGACGAGGGCGAACAGCAGCACGAGCTGGAGTGGAATGAGCGGGAGGAGCAGGAGGACCAGGGGAAGGCGGAGGGAAGTAAATGAGGAGGGCGACAACAATGAAGAAGGACTCGGATCCTGAAAAGTGGACCGCGCTGAGACGAGAGCGCCATTCTGAACGACGCGAGCAAAGCGCCGATCTGAAAATGAGGCCCACGCTGCATCGGGAGGAGCGCCAGTCTGAAACACCGCGAGGACGGTCGGATTGCAAGCTTACCATACGAAAGCAGAACGGCTTTGACTCTGCGAGTGACGCAGTACGCGGAGAGGGCCGGCGGTCGTCCTGACGAAGTCTGGGGAGCGAGGAGAGTAGCATGTATAATGTCTAATCGTGGAGGCGAGGGGGTGGGGCGGTGGAGGAGAGACAGGGTCAGGCCACAACGGGCCGGGCCAGACCCCCAGCAGGACTGCCCACACCCCAGCACGCCAGACGCCTGGGGCGGGTCAGGCCCCAGCGGTGCTCAGGAGCTCCTTCGGAGCTCCTCGGTCCTACGAGCGTCTCGGAAGCTTCCGACCAGCCACCGGGAACTTCAGGCCGCGCTTCTGAATGCCTCGGGGGACATTTGGGGGCCCTCGTGGGCCGTCTTGGGGCCATCGTGGAGACCTCCTGGGCTGCCTAGGGGCTCCCGGCAGTCCGAGCAGGCGCGAACGCCACAATCGCACAAGGACCGCGGAAAACTCCGCAGCTCGGACTCATCAGGAAGTCTTTTGGAGGCTCCGTTGGGCGTCTGGGGGGCCTCTTGGGCCGTCTTCGGGCCTGCGCTGCCGTCTTGGAGTCCACCTTGGACCGCCGTGGAGGGCATGTAGGGCCCTCCCGTCCGACTTGGGCGCTGCTGTTGATGATGTTGCTGTTGAGGTGTAGATGGCCCGGCCACGCCTCACCTTCGGGGAAGCCTGGCCGGAGTCGAGAAACATGGAAGCCCCAAAGCAATCACCCGTCGGTCGTTGAAAGTTGGTAATTCTGGACTCCCAGAGCCCAATCTACTTCAAGCGCCTTCCTACGTCAAGAATCGATGTGGATTGGCTGTTGTTTGTTATTCTGTGGGCGGGCCCGAACCCGATCTACTTTTTCCGCCTTCCTACTTCATGTTTATACCTGCTTCTTCCGACCGGCGTGTAATTGAGCCAGGGGATGCCCCAATGGATTAAACAACGGGGCTATAGGGCCGCCCGGGCGTGCAGCGAAAATCGGCGGCTAACCTCACCCCCCGGCACCCCCGGGCACCCGGGCACCCGGGCGTGCATCGAAAATCGGCGGCCACGCTAACCTAACCATATGAATCCGCCAGGACCCCTACAGAGGCAAGCTCTGATTGGGGAACCAAGGGATGCCCCAATGGATTAAACAAAGGGGTGTCCGACTTGGGCGCCGCTTTGGCCATGCGGGAGGCCATCCCAGGCGATCGCTTCCGTCCTGGGCGCTCCCTGGGAGCCGCCGCGGGGTCGAGGAGGCGTGGAGCGGCGGAGGCCTCAGGGACGGGGAGGTGCCACGGGGGCCCCCTGGAGGGTTTCTCCGAAGGGCTTCGGCGACCCGTCCTCCTCCTCCTCCTCCTCCTCCTCCTCCTCCTTCTCCTCCTCCTTCTCCTCCTCCTCCTCCTCGCTCTCCTCCTCCTCCTCCTCCTCCTCCTCCTCCTCCTCCTCCTCCTCCTCCGCCTCCTCCTCCTCCTCCTCCTCCTCCTCGCTCCTCCTCCTCCTCCTCCTCCTCCTCCTCCTCCTCCTCCTCCTCCTCCTCCTCCTCCTCCTCCTCCTCCTCCTCCTCCTCCTCCTCCTCCTCCTCACTCCTCACTCCTCACTCCTCCTCCTCACTCCTCCTCCTCCTCCTCCTCCTCCTCCTCCTCCTCCTCCTCCTCCTCCTCGGGTCGTCTACGGCCCAGGGGAAAACCGTGCAGGGTCCCCCCCCCGCTATGATGTTGGATTCTTTTGTTCCGTTGGACGGCGAGCAACCCAGGAACTTCGTGAATAAAATGCTCGCATGTTGAGGTCGATGCTGCGTCGGGGGACCACAGGTGCTGTTTCGCCAGGAGCGCAACGAACGCATCGGAAAAAGTGGCAGCATACGTTACACACGCCTTGGTCTGACAAGTGCGTTTTGCACGAATCTCGACCAACAGCAAGCATTTCGTAAATGCAGAGCTCCGCAAGCAAGTACTAGCCGGTCGCACTGCGGTTGATCGAGAGTTTCTGCGATTGATCGAGAGTTTCTGTATATACAGAAAGGGGCGTGCGCTTGTGCACGATGACGATGGTGAGAATGAGTGGGCGGCGGTGGTGCGGCGGGTGAGGATCAGGAGGGTGAAGGTCAGGAGTGTGAGTCTCACGAGCTGGGGGTCCCTGGAGGTCATCTGTCCTCCTGCTCCTCCTCCACATTCTCGCTCCCTCCTCCTGCTCCTCCCTCTCCTCTCTCCTCCCGCCTCCCTCCGCCCTCCTCTGTCCTCATGCGTCTTCCTCCCTGCTCACCCTTCACTTCCTCGTGCTCGTCCTCATGCTAGTCCTCGTTTTCGTTCTCGTCCTCGCCTGGTGCGCCCGGCGCGCCTGGCGCGCCTGGCGCATCGCCGGAAAATGGTCCCTGGGGGTGCGCTGGGGGCCCGTGGGGCAGTTTTGCGAGGATGTCCCGAGCAAATGCGCCGCATTGGGACGCGCCCGCGCGCCCGGCGCGCCCGACGCATCGCCGGAAATGGTCCCTGGGGGTGCGCCGGGGGCCCCTGGGCGATTTTACGAAGATGTCTCGAGCGAGTGCGCCGGATGGGGACACGGCTGGTGCGCCCGGCGCGCCTGGCGCATCGCTCGAACTGGTGGCGCGCTGGGGGCCACGGGGCGATTCTGCGAGGATGTTTTGAGCGAGGGCGCCAGATGGGGACACGCCCGGCGCGCCCAGCGCGCCCAGCGCCTCGCTGGAAATGGTTCCTGGGGGCCAGTGGAACGATTTTGCGAGGATGTCTCGAGCGAGGGCGCCGGATGGGGACACGCCCGGTGCGCCTGGCGCGCCCCGCGCATGGCCAGAAATGGCCGCCATGGGGGCCCGCGGGGCGATTTTGCAAGGACTCCTCGAGCGAGGGGCGCCCTGGTGGGTACACGCCTGGCGCGCCTAGGCGCATCGCTGGAAATGGTCCCTGGGGGCGCGCTGGGATGCGACTTCCTTCTCGCGCGCCGGGGGGCAGGAGGACGCGAGTTGGTCACCGAAACTCCTTCCCAAACTGCACAGCATCTCGTTGCGTGAGGACGTCTGCGCGCGCCCGCACGTGCTCGAAGCAAAAGGTTGCCATTCCTGTCAAATAGGGGAACGAAAAATTACGTAAACATAAAAACTCGGAGGTCCGCGCGGATTTCTTGGATCCGCGCTGGACCCCCCTCCCTGGCACGCGGAGCGCGCCAGGGGCGGCGCCGGGGGCGCCGCCAGGGGGCTCCAGCGTGGATCCGAGAAGTCCGCGCGGACCTCCGAGTCTTTATGTTTATGTAATTGTTCGTTTCCCTAGTCAAGGGACACCCTGCGGGCCACGCGGGTGCGCACGTCAAAGTCATCCGAGGACCGCGCACCCGCCAGCTGCTTCAGATAGTGCCATGCGGGCCCCACGCGCGCGCCCCCGCGCGCGCATGTGGAGAGCGGTGCAAAACTATCAACGGGGGAGAAAACATACAGACACAACGACTTGTCGATTCGCTCGACAAGATGGAAACATATGGGAAGGGGGGGGGGAAGACGCGAGTCCCCAAAACATGGAGAAGCACAGGGAATCCTGGGGTTTTGTGTGTATTTAGTTATGCGTGTGTGTGTGTGTGACCCTTGGCCCCGTCACAGTCGCTCGCTTAAGCATTCCAAGGTAGAGTGCCGCAGACACGAAAACGGCTCGGCTTTCAATCACAATCCGTTCAGGTTTTCATTCAGAGTGTGAATTACCTACGCCGCTTTCGCTTCCAGGCAAAACCAAGCCATACCACGCGCCTCCTCGTCAAGCGGCCTGACCAGTACAGGCTGCAATTTGGCATCGTTTGGCATCTCTTGGAAGCGAGGGTGGTCAAAAGCGAGGTAGGTTTGTTTTCCCCCTATTCATCGCGCGCACACTTCAGCATCCGCACCAGCACCATCGCCATCATGGTCAGCATCGTCATCATTGTCGTCGTCATCCTCGTTACCATCATTTGCACCATCGCCGTCCCAATCCAAATATTGTAATCGTCATCGTAGTTGTCGTTGCCCTCGTCAATTTCGCCACTGATTGACATCATCGTCCTTCTCATCGCCTCTGTCGTTGTTACCATCATCATTCGTCCACCCGAGTCATGGATGTCATGGATGTGCACACAAATGGTTTTCGCGGCATGGCGCCTGGTAAGTTTGGCCAACCAGTTGCGGGTGGGTATGTGTGATTTGTGTTCGAGCATGCGGGTGGTCGCGCGCTATTGTCAGCCAAGGTCGACTGCACAACATGAATTGATCCGAGGCTTGATCCTCATACCGAGGCCAGATTTACAGGTACCTCTCCGCGTATTGTGTTTGTTTATTGTCTGCAGTGTCGTCCTTCCAACAGCTGAGATGGTACTATCCCAGCCGAGCTGTTATCGATTCCCCGTGCCATCCCTGTCAAATACGTAACACAATGTGGTGGACACAAGTTTGTAGAACCAAGACACCCTTGCGGCAAAAGGCCCTAAACAGTTTTACAGAG